GCCCCGAGACAGCAGCAAAGGGCAAAGCAAAGGAGTCGTTTTCTTTCACCTGAAAGCTGCGAGGAGGCTTGGCGCGCCTCTCCTCGCTAGGGCCCGAAGTCCCTGGGCACAGGGCCGAGTGCGGACTGACCCCGCAGAGCGAGCACCGACTCCGCAGAGCGAGACCGGCGGATTTCAAGGGCTTTGGAGAACGTGAGCCCGGCTATCCGCCGGGCCCCCAAGCTCGCTGGGAGGGGGAAGGCCAGTCCGGGCTGTGCGGGGCGTTTACAAAAAGTGACTTGGAGATGAACTCGCCCGTGCGCGACTGGCCGCCCCGCTATAGGGGCGAAGGCGCCTGACGCAAGCGGAACTCAGCGGAGCCCATACGAATCAGAACAGAGAGAGGCTCCTGGCGCACTAGGGACTCCGGGAGGCAACTCCGCCAGAGACGCGGGTCGTACCTCGGGAAACTGGGGGGGTGGGGGAGGGGAAGAGCACAGTGAAGAAAACCCACCGAGGCGGGGACTGGCCTGGCGGGGAGGGGCGGCGGGGCCGGAGCCCCTCTCTGTTGGGCGGGCTCCCCATGGCCAGAGGCTGAGCTCCACTCCCGCCGGCCGCTCCCCAGGGGAAGGGAAAGAAGAGGGAGAGGAGCGAGAGGCCGCGAGCGAGCGAGCGCGGCGGCATCGGCGGTCTTCAGAAGTTTAAGACTCTGCGGCGAGTGGACTTCTGCGCCCGGACTCTTCGTCGCTCCAGCGCCAGTGGAGAAAAGCAGGGGCTGCCTGGCCGCGGCGCGCCGGCTTTGTCATGATGGCCAGCTACCCCGAGCCCGAGGACGGTCTTCACCCAGGACCTGCGGGGCACTGCGGGGGCACCTCTGCACCCATCCGCCCGACCCCGCGCAGAAGCCCCCGTACTCGTATGTGGCGCTCATCGCCATGGCGATCCGCGAGAGCGCGGAGAAGAGGCTCACGCTGTCCGGCATCTACCAGTACATCATCGCCAAGTTCCCATTCTATGAGAAGAACAAGAAGGGCTGGCAGAATAGCATCCGCCACAACCTCAGCCTCAACGAGTGCTTCATCAAGGTGCCGCGCGAGGGCGGCGGCGAGCGCAAGGGCAACTACTGGACGCTGGACCCGGCCTGCGAGGACATGTTCGAGAAGGGCAACTACCGGCGCCGCCGCCGCATGAAGCGGCCCTTCCGGCCGCCGCCCGCGCACTTCCAGCCGGGCAAGGGGCTCTTTGGGGCCGCAGGAGCCGCGGGAGGCTGCGGCGTGGCAGGCGCGGGGACCGACGGCTACGGCTACCTGGCGCCCCCCAAATACCTGCAGTCTGGCTTCCTCAACAACTCGTGGCCGCTACCGCAACCGCCCTCACCCATGCCATACGCCTCCTGCCAGATGGCGGCGGCTGCAGCAGCAGCCGCAGCAGCGGCGGCGGCCGCGGGCCCGGGCAGCCCCAGCGCGGCCGCAGTGGTCAAGGGGCTAGCGGGCCCGGCCGCCTCGTACGGCCCGTACTCACGCGTGCAGAGCATGGCGCTGCC